TATGCTACTTTCAATGTGTTTCAATAGTTAACATTTTTAACTTGGTGGAGTAACTGAGAAGCAAATTAAGGGATGAGTTAAGCAAATTTTTGGAACATAGACACTTTTTAAGTTTGGTTTGCCGTATCTGACCAATCAGGCAGAACTTCTGTTCCCAAGAAACCTTACTGCCATGAAGAAGAAAGTACAGGGTTTACACAGGCAACACATCTGATCTCTGTAGTCAGATGAACCAATTCCTAACTCTGGCTCTATCAACCCACATTCATTGTGACTCAAGGTATGTATCTAAATACATTATGAAAAATAAACATGACAATAGTGCCCAAACTCATATGTTATAAGAATTACATGGCTTAATTTCTTATAATAACAGCATCTAGAATCCAGGAAGAATCTGATCAGTGTCAACTGTCAGCTATCTACCATTAGTATTGTTATTGCTAATGTTATTTACATCTGTAACAAAAGACCTATTACCAGTGGTCAGATGATCTGCTAAATGGTGGTGGTGCTAGAAAATATAAAGAGATATGTATGGAGGGAGAGAGAATATGGAGATAATGAGTCAATAGGAGTTAAATTATAAATGCTAAGGGAGAGAACGGGAAGACCAGCAAGTGAAATTTTCTCAGCACTTCATATGGACTCAGGATAAAGATGTGTGTGGGGGGGGGTTCAGCTCACATCAGAAGCCTCTACTTGGTTGCCTTGTCCAGGAAATGTGGAGGCCAGGACCAAGAACAGCCCAGGAAGTTGAAGGATAATTTGAGTTTACAGCTCCTTCTTAGTGGGCAGGATCTGGGGAGTCCTTCCAAGTTACTGCCCAGGGGAAATTCTTCAACTGGTTGTTGTGCCCTGTTGTACTCATGAACAGACGATTTCCTGTTATCCTAAAGAATTTCCTCTAGCTTTTCCAATTGTCAAACTCATGCCAGGCTAAAGGCCAAAAAAATCTTCTTTAGTAATACTATGGTAGTTATTAAGAAGGGAAATCCTGAGGCCTGAACTTGCTATTTGTTGGCAATTGTGTTAGTTTCCATGCTGGGCATTTCCAGCATCACAGAGCTTAATATACCAAAGGCAATTGATGTTCCAGGTACCCCTGTGTGATTTCCCCCTTTGTCTGGGTGTTCTCAAGAGTTCATGCTAATGGTGTGCTGAATGGGATTTGTGTAGGGCTCAATGCCTGGCTGTTCTGGAAATCACAGTAAGCAAAACCATACAAACATAGACAGGTGAGCCTTGTTGGTGAGAGTTGAATTTTGGTTTTGACATGAGCCTGCTCAGATTACGGTTTTCGTCTTTAGATGAAACTAAATTCTCCAGGGTGTTTTCAGTTTTTCAAAGGTCAAGTGTCTAACTACCTCTGTCCATTCCCATAGACAGGGAGTTATCAAAAACAAGAGCAATGTATTCTCCCCTCCAGGCCACTACCTGCCTACCAGCCGTAGTTTTTACAGACTGAATTCTTGGCAGGTTGATCTTAACAGTAATCCTTTCTCATCCTAGTTTAAGTACAAGTAATCCCCAGAAGTCCATGTCTGGCTTTTAGTAAACCATTGCCCAGGTACAAGCAAAACTGTCCCTGTTAAGAATTTTACACATTCTCTTCCATGGAGTTTCGTATCTTACTCTTTAGTTCTTGATTCATATTCCTTAGGGGGGATTTTCATGTGAAATTTGTTCTCTGCTACTATGCAACACTCCCAAATTAATCTTGTTTTCTCGTGCTTTTGTTCTTAGGATTCTGAAATGGAAGTGTAGGCAAAAAGAGCCTCTGAAACTGAAGAACTGTAAACTGTAGAGTCATATGTCTCAACATTGTGCACCATTAGGCACGACCTCCATATTATACAATTAGTGATGCTGCCTTAGTTTTGCAAGGTTATTCTGATTAAGAAAATATGTTGAAGATTGAAAACATGAAAATATAGTGGGAACTCCCGCTATATTTAATCTCTTCCCAATTACACAAATTAAACAAAGATTATTAGAACTATGCTCTGCTTGGGGAAGTCTCTTATTTGATGAGACTCTAGACTTCTGCCTTTACAAACTTGTACAAAGCCTTAATAATTTATGCCTTAGGCTTTCAGTTCAGGTAGCCTGTTCTTACCTTTGTAAACACTTTACTAAGGGTTGGTTTGACTTTAGCAAGGAGTTGTATGAAGTTACTATACATTAGGGAAATTAATTTCCTCATTTTTATGTCATGTGTATTTTGTCACATTTATATGTGTACATTCTGTGTATATGTGAGTGTTCACATTGATCTATGTGCTCCTATATGTGGAGGCAAGAGGTCAGCCTCAGCTCTCCTTCTTCAGGAGCCATCAATCTTATTTTTAGAGACATAATTTCTTACTGGAATTGAGACTCATCGATTAGGATAGGCTAACTGGCCGACAAGGTCCAAGGATTTGCCTTTTCTTCCCTGACTTTGGGATCCCAAGTACCTGCCACCGTACCTGGTTTTATATGTGAGTGTGAGTAATAAAACTCAGGTCCTCATGCTTGCCTAGCACTTTATCAACGTATCTATCTCCCAAGAAATATAAAGAAAGAAAGAGACTTGGATAGCAGTAAACAGCGTTTGGTGGAATATGGGAAAATTGACATCTGCTTCCATGACTTATGGAGTGTGAACTACTATAAGCCATTTAAAAATACATGAGCTTTATAATCTAGCAACCCATTTTCAGAAATGAAAGATCCTATCAGCATACGTGTGTGTATGTGTGTGTGTGTGTGTGTGTGTGTGTGTGTGTCTTATTCATAGAAGCCAAAATTATAGGTTCATTAAAAGGACTAGTTGAGCCAGGCATGGTGGCATATGCCTTTAATCCCAGCACTCAGGAGGCAGAGGCAGGTAGATCCCTATGAGTTCAAGGCCAGCCTGCTTTACATAGTGTGTTCCAGACCAACTGAACCGACAGGGAGAAAAAGAAAAGGACTAGTTGAAGAAATGTTGGTCAGCCATGTTGTGAGCCCTCATGTAACCATTAAAAAACACTCACTAAATCTTCATATATTGACTATAAAATTGTCCATGATATTCTTTTAGGCACAAAATTATTTACAGATTATGTGTAGCATGATCCAAGTTTACTTAAAGGAATGACTATAATATATTGATATGTTTGTGTGCTAAGTTTATATGCCCATTTATACATATATATGCATATATATGTTAGGATAAACTTTTTAAATGTCATTAATGTAAAAAAAAAAGGAAGATTTTTATGTAACCCTGTATAATCTGATATGTTACAATGAGTTTGGTCAGGCATGATGATACCTGCTTATAATCCCTGAAACTTGAGAGGATGAGGCAAAAGAATATTCAGAGTCTAGAAGTTCAGGGTTACCTGGGCAGCGACAGGAGATACATCACTTAAAAAAATCTACACTGGGTCAGGTATTGTAGCACACACCTTTAATCTTAACGCTTGGAAGGCGGAGGCAGGGGAATCTGAAATTGAGGCCAACCTGGTCTATATAGTGAGTTCCAACCCCTGGGGCAACAGGGAGATCTTGTCTAAATAAATAAATAAATAAATAAATAAATAAATAAATAAATAAATCTAAAATTCCTATTTTATCATTTTATAATTCAGAATAGATTTTTTTTAAAGTGGATAAAAATATTTATTTTCAAATGGAAAATATCTACATTTAAAATTAAAATTTCTGAACTTAAATGATACCTACTGTTTAAAAGCAGTGTCTGAATTTGGCCACCACATTAAAAATTATATAACTTTCTTTAAATATGCTTTGTTTGCCCTGGTTCCTAGACTCTTAAATAAATTATTTATGTAGGGCCACCAGGATGCCTCACAGATTAAAATGCTTTCCTTGAAAACATGACAACCTGAGTTCAGTCTGCAGATCTCACTATGAAAGGAGAGAACCAAATCCCAACACTTTTCTGACCTCCACTTGCATACCATAGCACATTCATTCACACACACACACACACACACACACACACAATAATAATAATAATAATAATAATGGCAAATTCTTTAAAAATTAAAATTAGAAAATTTGTTTGTGCCTATTCAAATCCTTGCTACATAGCTGAGGCTAGCCTCAAACTCACAATCCTGCCTCAGCCTCTGGAGAAATGGGAGAGCAAATAGGTGCCACCACACTCAGCAAGAAATCATTTTACAACTAAAATACCCAGTACTCTACACCTGCTGTCTTGAGCTACACACAAGGACCTGAGGGGTTCTATTGCTATGACCAGAGAAGATGGAGAGAAGGCTCTTAAAAACTGTGGGCTAATTAAAGTTGTAACTTTTCTCTGAGACTCCAATGTCTTGGATAGAAATGTTTGTAATGTTTAATTTTTCCAACTTGTCTTTCATAGCTTTGAATTAGTAAGGATATTATTATTAATTTTTCAGTAGTTCTTCATCCAAAGAGCAGATAGAGGCAACATTTCTGATGCTTTCTAATGAGGGGAAAAAGAATCAGTATCAGTCAGAGTATTGTCACACAAGGACCTTTGCTTCCAATTTTTATGACCCCAGGAGGCTGAGTTCACTTCCATCGTGTACAGTCATTTATTTAGGAGAGCCCATAGTTTTGTGACCAACCACAATTATTTTTATGAATCCATCCCATTTCCTAAGTTCTGACAATCAGTTTAGAAAGATTCAGCAAATAATTGATTACAAATTGATTACCTTTGTATCACATGCCTGCTTGGAGAATAGGCAAATAGCTGGTTATTCAATCACTATTGCATTAGGTTCCCGTCCTTTTAGATATTAGCTGAAACTGCCTTAAACCTCGCAGCCTCCTCAGAGGTTGGGTCTGTGTGAAAACAGACTTTTGTGAAGCTACAGATTTCCCCCTTCATCTGCTCAGCCAATAAGTGGCCAGAGCACAACTCCAATTAGAAATGAGCAACAAGTTTCCGTATCTATGAACAGAAACAAGGTAGATAGAGCATGTAGCCTCGGAGAGACACACATTTGCTTTTGGAGAAAAGCAGCATTCACTCGGCAATCAGTGCAGCATATGGCTGAAATCCATTATCTGACACACTCTTTCCAGCCTTCCCAGGAATGCTGGGCTGACTGCTAGGATTTGCTTTTACTTCCTGACTTTGGATACAATGAGCCTGCCAACCAGCTGTGATCACCTAACTCTGGGGAAGGTGGCTAGATTCCGAAGCGCTTATGTTCATGGATCGCCTTACGCAATCAACAAGCCAATTGATATTAAGCCACAAAGGAGACGGTAAATAACTTTCCTTTCCTCTAGTTGTTTTGTCAGTGAAAATGTGTTTGTTACCCTTTGGTTACTGCTTCGGAGATCGGCTGAACTGGGAGGGGTTAGGGCGAGGGGTTAGTTGTTAAATTCAGCATTTCTAGGGTAGTTGGGAAAAAATTAACCTGAAAGGGAAGCTGACAAATATTATTAGTTTAGCTGTTTCGCAAAAGCTAATGTGGTTTCAAGGTCTGTAGATTTTCAGAATGTGAAAGATTGTTAATGCTAATATTACCACTGGAATCATCCATGATGACAGTTTGAAAGAGGATTTAATCAAATTATGGATATGTTTATTAGCAACACCTACCAGATGCCCAAGAGTTCACAATCTGATATGATAAGAACTCACAATACTAATATGCAGCAATAAATGTGTTATTCTGTAGGAAGCATTCATTTTTATGTGATCAACCCAATAAAGGACAATGGATTTTTCCCATCAAGAAATTGGAATTTCTAGACGAATGTTCCAGAATTCTGTTAACTCATACTCTTCACCCCTCCCCTCCCAGCCCCACAGGCAAACTTGTACTGTGTAGTTTCAAAGTTGAGTTCAGTATTTTCATTCCAGGCACAGGGGAATGCATGCTCGCTGGACTCAGTAGCCTCCAGCACCTCCAGGGCAGTGTCAGGACAGATACGTGTAACTAATGTGTGCAGAAGTCTTCCCTTGACTTTTGTTTTAAGTAATGTCATTTTATTCAGCATTTAACAATGAGCTAGAAAGATTTGGACAAAGGTGTTCCATTCTCTCTGTGAACAGGCTAGTGCTCCCCAATTTTATGAATTCCCAGAATAAAAATGTAAACTTTGAAAGGCAGTGTATTGTACATGGAGACTATCGTTACCATCCCGCCCTTCTGCCTGCCTTTTTCTGATTATGCGCACATAGACGCAACTCACACAGCAGACAGTGGACTAGATTTAACCATAGTATAAATGTAAAGTAGCATTCAGACAATTAAGTGATTTTCTTTTAAACTTTCCAAACCTTCAGAAATCCTTAGACTTTGTTTTTCAGTTAGAGCATCTTCCCCCATGAGAGTGAGCTTTTTGACTTCAGTAAGGAGCAATATTGTTTCCTCAGAATTTGAAGACGCTCCTGCACAGTTCCAGAGCCATCTAACTTTACAGTGGGCCATTATACTCCCCTGTGTCCTGAGACCCCAGCTTGGTTCAGTGGCTGCCGGGTGCCCCACACTATGTTTAATCCAGGAGTGAGAATACAAACCCAACAAGCTGTCAGAGTCAACTGTAAACGTTACACCTGTGATACTTTATCCTTTTTCTGCTTAAAAATAATCACCTTTCCACATAAGTCAGCTGAATTATGTTTTTATGTAAGCTGACGTACATTTGGAGATATACAGGACATTTCAAAGTTTTCAACCAGTTTAGAAATTAAACATTACAGTGTGTTTTTACAAGTAAGGATTTTAAAAAATATTTTATTATTTTAATTTTATGTTTATGAGTGTATTGCCTGCATGTATGTGAGTGCACCCATGTCATGCAATGCCACGGAGGTCAGAAGAGGGCTTCGGATTCCCCTGGAACTGGAGTTAAGGATAGTTCATAACTGCCATGTGGGTGCTGGGAATCGAACCCGGGTCCTCTGCAAGAGCAGTCAGTGCTCTTAACCTCTGAGCCGTCTCTCCAGCCTCCACAAGTAAGGATTTTTAAAGGCATTTATAATATATTTTGTAGCACAAAACCTTGAATTTGTAAGTAAAAGAAAATAAAATACTAAACCCAACTTTACTTTTACCCAGTAAATGAATCAAGTAGATGACTTTTGTGTAACAAATGTGTAACTAATTGTTCTAATACTTCTATTCCATGGCACTGTGAATATCTCAAGGCTGCTATGACAGCAGTACGTGGAATGTAGTTGAATGACTAAAAGAACACCCAAATCACTGGACTTTTCATTCATAGCTATTTATTTTTAAGTTACAAGGTTTTTCTTTGTTGTTTCTGTTTTTTTATCTTTTGAGACAGGGTCTCCCAGTAGCCTCAGCTGACCTGGAACTCCCTGTGTAGACCAGGCTGTCCTCGATCTCAGAGATCCACCTGCCTCTGCCTCTCAAGTGCTGGGACTAGAGGTGTCCACTACCATGCCTGGCTAGTTATGTTTTTAAACCTCAAATTTTAAAAATTGTTGAGAAAATAATACACCTGACATGGTGGTGCTCCATCACCCCAGACTCACTGAAATCTACCCAAAGGTGCCTGGTCATGTTTCAAGGTGCTTGCCTGCGTTCCTCTGAGTTTAGTAAACAGCACCTTTGTATTTATTTTTACATAGTCATGATTACAGGCTTTGGTAGATAGGAAATTGCTTTTCTAACTTAAAAATGTGAGAAGGAAAGAAAGAAGGGGAATGCAGAAGTAAGGGAAAGAGGTTTGTAAAGAAAGATAAGAAAAACCACTTAAAGAAGAGGAGTATCACCATAGTGGTACATGCCTGCAATCCCAGCACTTGGGTGGTAAAGGCTACAAGATCAATGGCTCAAGCCAGCCTTGGCTACATAGTGAATTTGAGGCTGACTAGGGTTATATGAGACACTCTCTAGAAAAAGTGAAAAGGTCAGGTGAAGGAATTTGTTCCTATAATTCCAGCATTTGAGAGGCTGAGATACGATTGCAAGGAGTTTGAAGTCAGTCTGTGAGTTCAAGGCCAGCCAAGACTAAGTAGCAAGATCCTGCTTCAGAAAAGAAAAAGGAGGGGCTGGAGAGATGGCTCAGTGGTTAAGAGCACTAACCACTCTTGCAGAAGACCCAAGTTTGATTCCCAGCACCCACATGGCAGCCTGGAACCTTCCTTACCTCCAGTTTCAGGGGAATCCGAAACCCTCTTCTGACCTCCGTGGCATTGCACGACACGGGTGCACTCACATACATGCAAACAATACACTCATACACATAAAATAAAAATAAGAAAAGAAAAAGGAGTAAGAAGGGAAAGGGAAAGATGGAGAGAGAGAGAGAGGCAGAGGCAGAGAGACAGAGAGAGAAACAGCCATATGCTATTCCCTTTACCCAATGAAGCATAAGATTGAGAGAATAAAAGAAATTTTTTTGCTTGTTTGTTTGTTTACTGAAATCGATTGGCCCATGGGGAGGAATGAAGTATGGAATCTAATATAAAAATTTTAAATATAGTTCAATTTAAATCCAGGCATATCCTTATAAAATAATGACTTATTGAAAGGGGAGTGTTTGTTCTGGAACATTGGGAAATAATTTTCAACTTAAAAACCAGCTGCATTAGAAGTAGGACCACATGGTCATTTAATACTGTTCATTTTTATTTCAAGAGTGGCAGTAGAGACATTAACAAAGCAGTTAAACCACTAAATCTTAATTAAGCTCAGTGTTAAAGAGAATGACAGCCCTGCCATCTGGAATTATCATAGTTCACTGTATTTGTGATTTCTAAAATATTTAAGTGTTTTTGTAGTCTCTATGAATTCTAGATCTCTATTTTTAACTTGCATGAATTGAAACGTTCTTTAAATTTCTAAAATTTTGGTATTTTAATTTGAACACATAGAGATTGGATGTTTGGCCCCTTCCTCACACTACCTGACTGGGGTTTGTGAGGGTGTGTGGATTCCTGTTCACTGTGTGCCTCCAGTATCCAGCAGAGAGCCCACCAGAGGTTAAACCATCAATCTTGATTTAGTGAATAACTGATTACAAAGTACATGCCATATATTTTCCGATGGATGATCTGGCAAAACTTTTGCCTGTGCTCTTTCCACTGGAGCAACCGAGTTTCCTTTATGTGTTTTCATACAGACCTCATGGAGTGCTGGTTTAGACTGCTATGCTAAGTGATTGTGGTATTGCATTTTCTTATCAGGTCAGCAAATCAACCTGAAATACATTTCTGTATTTATAATTTGTGTGTGTGTGTGTGTGTGTGTGTGTGTGTGTGTGTTGAAATGAGGGGAGAAAAAAACATTGTGGGTGGAGGTGGGGGGATTTCAAGAGGAAAGTTATACTGTAATTGTAAAAAACTGTTACATAAACACAACAGTTCATAAGGTCATAAATAAAAATTGTGAAATAAAAGCGTCAGTTCAGCTTGTCTTGCTGTACTGAAAAATTCACAATTTTTAAAGAAATATCGAAAGGGAAAATAAACACTAGGAGCAAGAGAAGAAATGAAGACAAGAGCTGCCAGCACCCCACCTGGAGGGAACGGACAGCAGCGGTGTGCCAGGGCAGTGCTATTTACAACCCAGCCTAGTACTGTGTCTCCCCCCATTGCTAAGGTTCAACCTTAACACCTACACGGCTGGCTAACAGCTGGTGGGTGAGGTCCCACACCCTGCTCTTGGATCTGCTTTACTAATGATGTCATTTCTATCATGTACCCTCTGGCCTCTCGTTTGCTGAATCCTATGGGTAGGTTTCCTGTTTTTTTCTGAGAAAAGCGGGGTACAAAGACCTTGAAGACCTGCACCAATACAGCGTTTGAGTGTAGCCAAACAGCCCCGCAAAGCTGTGTCCTTAGATTTCTTACAATTATCAAGCTATTCATTTGCTCGGCGAGTATGTTCATTTGACAGAGCTAGGAAAAGAAAACACTATAGGCTGTTTCCTAGTTCTGAGGGTGGGAAGTCAAAGGTTCTGCAGGTTTCATCCCTAGAGCCCCGCCCATGTTGGCTTGTGGGTAACAGTGTTCTTGCCGCACCTTCTCATCCTTTCACCTCCACACGTGCTGATGTGGTGTCTGGGTTTCCACAGACATTGATCTTGTAAGAACATCATCTAAGAACAGGGCACACTCCAAAAACTTCATTCTGACTTTGTCACCTCTTTAAGGCTCTCTGTCAAACAATCACGTTTTATGCACCGGATTGAAGATAACGGATTTTGGCAGAGGCACCTTTCGAACCATGGCAAAGTATAATTTACTGGATGACTATGCAGGAAGCTGTGAACTGGACAACGAT